AGGGCGACGCTGCGCGGCGCTCCAGCTCTGGGCTGCCGCTCGCCACTCTCGCCCGTATAAGAAGCCCGAGGGCCGAGGGAGGGCCGGCTAGATTGCGCAAGAGGAGAAGTGAAGACAGCGTTTCCTGGAAGAAAGAGATCAAGCTGGGAATCCCGGGCAGCTGGAAGAACCAGAAATTCCTGTATTGCTCCTGCCGCTGTCGCTGCAGATGTTACCGCAGATCTCCGATCAGCCTGGTTTCTAAGGCTTTCCCCCAGACTCCTTGGGATCTGAGCATCCCAGGCAGACGGAGGCTTGGAGTGGCTGAAAAGGACCCCTTTCCTCAAGGAGTCAGAGTGGCTGCTCTGAAGGGCTGAGAAAACCCCAGCTGGTCTAGGCTTCTAGGCATTTATCCCTGTGCCCTGGTGTTTTACTTCAGAGGTGACATCTTTTCCCATGTTCCTGAAAACCCTGGGTTCTTATGGGGCTCATAGCTTGGACGATCTTGAATTTGGAGGTCTTAATTTAGGTAGATTAGAAGATTCAAAAGAAAAACCAAACGAAAGAGAGAGATGAAGAGGATACCTTATTGTAGATATGTTATCTATACCTATACAGTGTTGCATAATAATGTGCAATACTATGTATTGGATTGATACGTCTTTCCACTTAGGACAAGCTCAAAAGCCACAGGCCTGGTGGTTTATGATTTAACTAACCATGACAATCTATGAGGGCAAAGCGCTCCTGCACTCCCTGTGGTATAGAGCCAAGAGTCTTCCCAATGTGTCTCTGATGCCAGCCGACTGGTCTTAAGTTCTCTGGCATTCTTGCCAAGGCCCAGATTTTCAGCCACACGGAAGGTCTGTTCCCAGCATTTTTGAGCCAACCCCCCTTTTGCCTGGATTGCTGCTCTCCCCAGAACATCTCGTGGAGTCAGCTCAGACCCCATGTCTCCCAAGGAGTCTTCTCTGAGCCACTAGTTGCAGTTACTCTTTCTTTCTCCAAATGGTGTAGTTTATGCTTCTAATACAGAAGTTAAGATAGCTTGCCTCTTAAAAGTAATTGTATATCTCTTCTGGACTACAAGCTCCAAGGGTTGACACTCTATCCTTTTCAACTTGGAATTCTCCACCACACTTAGCATAGTACTTTGCATATAATAGGCACTCAATATTTATTGCACTCATTAATAAATCTGCCAATTATTATATTGTTTTGCAAAAAGTTTATCTGGTAGTATTCTTTGGGCAAAAAAGAACTTAAAAATTCTTCATTGCTTTTATAGAATCTAATTTTCCCAGTTTGAAGACTGAGAGAGTGAAAGAAGGGGGTGTAAGTAGGAAAGAAGGCCTCCCGGTGTGTCTCGAAGGAGCCTCAAGGTTGATAAACACAGTTCTGGTGACTTGCCCCTGGTCTAGCATCTGGCTTTAAGCCTTGTGGATACAGAAACTTAATTCTTAGCCCACTGAAACCTGGTACTTAAAACTAGAATGCTTATTTGTTAGTTGTCAATGGAAAATAAAGCAAGTAGTTACGGTGAAATATAGTTGCTGAGGGCCCGAGACACTCAGGTCATCACATGCTCTCTCAGTAGGCACATCGTGTGGAAACCATTTTCCAGAGAAGGCTGCTCCATAAACAGGGGAGTGAGTTATAAGATCCAAGTTTTCTGGCATGTAGCCACCCACCATTCACACCATGGTGACAGATTTGCCACCAGAAGCAGACACCTGGGTTCTGTGGACCATGTCCCTCTGCTTTCTGGGTAGTGTTTGTATCCATTATGAGTTGATGTAATGAACACTCATACTCCCAAATACAGCCTTCAACTAATAGCAGAATCATTGCTTTCTATACTTACTATTAGATGGACAAAATTTTTTAAACCAGGTTTTTATGAGAGGCAGTTATATTTCAGTTATGTAAGCACTTTTCTTTGCCAGAGGTGACTAGAGTCCCAGAAAGGGTAGCTTAAAATGACTAGAATATGGAAGATAAAGAAAATTGTCTTTATTAGTACCAAACTTAAGAGGTGCTTGACTTATTTATCTTGTGTTTTAAGGATTGATTTTTCCCTTGGTCGTAGGAGGTACACACAATTCATAACTCTCCCAGTCTTTCCTTAAACCTTTGCTGTGGGGGAAAATTAAGCCTTCAAAGATGCCAGACACCCAAATACTCAAGATTTGCCACTGACAGGATTCATCCTCTCCCTGTAGCCTTCTCATCGGAACTCCAGATAAGCCTTCCCAGATGTTGCACAACATCAAAGAGTTCCAGTTGAGAGATTTCCACATGGACTGTGCCCTGAGTCTTTCCTGTTACTTCCTCTCTTGCCAGCCTCCATTTCTCCACATGGCAGAACTTAGCAAAACTGATGAAGTAGACCTAGAGCCAGTGTTCATTAAGGGTTATTAAATGATTGAATAAACAAGTGTGCCTTTAGCATCTTGTATCTCCTTTTTCTCTGTCATTTTCCTCCTCATCAGGGATCCTCTTCTGTATAGTCTCAGGTCTTGCCCACTCCTCCCCTTCCCCTGAGGTCTCTCTTTATAGTGAACCACACTTTTTTATTGAGAGGTGGGGCTTTCAACATGTGCTGGCCCTGGAGGTTATTGACTTGATAGTCTATAAGTAGCATGTATTTGGGAAACTTACTGATTTAAAGATTTACCATTGGCTACTTTTGGGGGAGGAAAATTGAAGAATCCCTAGAGATGTCTCTGCTTAACTCAAAGAAATGAGTCTCTAATGGTAGAGATTTCAGGCACTCTGGGAGATATTTTTGAAAATGGGTATAATGAATATATATTTTTTATTTTGCCCAGCAGCCAGGACCAAGACAAGGATAAGGTGAGTGAGGAGCCTAGGACACAAAAGTTGAGGAGAGGCTTACCCTCAAAACCAAACTTCCATGAATCAGAAAATGAGGATCTCTTTAAATTTTATCCCCTTGGAGTTTCAACAACCGTCTCTTGTCCTAGCCTTTCAGAATCCATTTCCTTTCTGCTAAATATAGCTCCCTTTATCTTTGAGAAACACCCTTGTGCAATCCTTGTGATCCAGTGAAGGTGGCAGCACTCTTGGGTTTTGAGGAAGAGACCCATGAGTTAGGCCTGGCCGGTCAAAGCACACAGCCTTATCTGCAGTGATTGGCTCAGTGATGACACATGACCTAAGCTGGGCCAATAGGAATCTTTTCTGCAACAACTCAGAAAGAAGCACATTTCTTTACAGACAGTTGTTGAATTGCTGGAATGGAAACATGGGTGTCCTTGAGGAGAGAGTGAGTCTGAGAAAGAAGCCACTTTATGGGAAAGGAGAGCAAAGAGACGGGAAGAGACAGGTTTCTGAAATCGTTGGAACTCCATACCCATAGAGAGCTCTGTAGCCTAGGCTTTCCAGTTACATGAGTCAGTATTTGGGTATTGTATAATCCTGCCTAATAGAATGAGGTTGGCCAGGGTGAGAAGTGCACCTGTTCAACCTTGCTTCTCCAGTCATCCCGCCTACTTTAAGGTGCCTTCGTCACAACATGCAATCAGAAAGGGGTGGCATTTGTTGTTCAGAAAAAAACTTCTGAGTTTTCTTGTAGCGGATCTGGGACTTGGGCAATCAATCTCTGCGGCTGAAATTTCTCAGCTACTTCCTGATAGACTTGGAAATGGAATTTCTTGTCCCAGCCAACTTCTTTTTCTACTTCTTTCCTACTTTCCTGGGAAGTGGGCTAACAGAACCACCCACCCCATGCTCCTGAACTGTGAAACTGCAAAGAGTACAGTAAAGAAACCCAGACCATAGACCTGGTTTTAACTTGTTTCTAGGATTCCTGCCAAAACAGAGCAGGGAGAAAAACCAAACATTTTGCCACCCACTTGTATCCAAAAAAAAAAGTCCTGATGGGAAAATATGCCAGACACTGACAATATTAGAGCCTGGGCTAGGTGATGATGTCAGGAATGACAATAAAGAATTTAAAAATAAAA